CAGAGAAGGGGTGGGGACATGGAAGTAGCAGCATTAGATTAGTTTGTAAGAACTGACAGTCATAACAGAAACAGTGTCAAGATTTAAGTGTCAACATTTTCTCTTTTCCCTCAACAAAATATCCTGGAGAAATTAGCAGCAAAGATAGTTTCCTATTAGATGCAACATATACCCATAATCTTGAAAGGCCTAAAAAGCAATATCCACCAAACAAATAGAAAATACAACAGCAACCAGAGACAGAGGACTGAGCCAAGAATTTCCCTGACTTAATGTCAGAGGGTTGCTAGATGCTTCACACCAACATCTGAAAATAATGGAAAGGGGTTTCGACTTACTCTCTCTAGGGGCAGGTCCTTTGAACTGACTTCTGATGGGCAACAGTGCCATGTTTCCAATGAGTTTGGTGTCGGGGTCCATGAGAGAAGAGTGGTAAGCCTGTAGTGGCAAGCCAGATAAGAATACAGAAACAGAAGCAGAACAAGTGTCAGCAGCGCAAACAAGTACATTTCTCCAAAGGAAAAAAAAGAGTAACCCACCCAAAGATTAACTAGGGTGTGTGGCAGAGGGGAGGGTGGCAGCAATATGCAAAGCTGGCTCTTACTGGCTCATTAAAACCAACTGTTACCTTTTTAGGAATTTTCAAAAATTAGATTATATAAATTTGCAATAAATTATATTAAAAACAAAGGTAATAAAGATTCAAAATGCATTACTCCTTATTTTTAAAAATTATTTTACTATTGCCCATGATCTTAAAGTTATTTATGTCTTTTGTATCTTGATGGCAAATCAATAAAATATATATATATTTTTAAAAAGTGATTAACTAGGGCATGTGGCAGAGGGGAGGGTGGCAACAATATGCAGAGCTGGCTCTTACTGGCTCATGAAAACCAACTGTTACCTTTTTAGGAATTTTCAAAAATTAGATTATATAAATTTGCAATAAATTATATTAAAAACAAAGGTAATAAAGATTCAAAATGCATTACTCCTTATTTTTAAAAAGTATTTTACTGTTGCCCATGATTTTAAAGTTATTTATATCTTTTGTATTTAATGGCAGAAATAGCACTACCAGTACATAATGAATGGGGTGCTACTGTGCATCTCTTTCCATTTTACATTCAGTGACATCACACTGACAACTGGTGGGAATAGTTACACTGCAGAAATAGGCAAACATTATATAAACCAGGAGTACCCACCATCAGCTGTGGTTAAGCCAGAACCCAAGCACTAGTTTTTCTATTCTGCCACTTCTTAGCTTTATATCTTTGACCAAAACATCACTTTTCTTAATCTGTTTCCAAATTTGTATATTGAGGAAAACATACCACCTTCATTGGGGAGGTGTGAGTTAAAGGATGAAGAGCAATGTGTATATGATTCCTAGTTCTGCCTTTTACAAAATGTCTGGCTTTTTGTAAGACAACATGGGCCCCACTCATGTATTCATTCATTCACCAACTGATTATTAAGCACCTTCTAAAGGCAAGGCTTGGTCATTTACAAGTATGCAAGACTAGCTGTGGTTAAGCCAGAACCCAAGCACTAGTTTTTCTGTTCTGCCACTTCCTAGCTTTATATCTTTGACCAAGACATCACTTTTCTTAGCCTGTTTCCAAATCTGTATAATGAGGAAATATATACTGCCTTCGGTGGGGAGGTGTGAGTTAAAGGATGAAGGGGGGAAATCACATTTATGAGAGCAATGTGTATATGATTCCTAGTTCTGCCTTTTACAAAATGTCTGGCTTTTTGTAAGACAACACCGGCCCCATTCATGTATTCATTCATTCACCAACTGATTATTAAGCCCCTTCTAAAGGCAAGGCTTGGTCATTTACAAGTATGCTGGACCAGTATGGTCTCCATCCTTGAAGAACTTTCGGGCTAATGGAGAAGACAGATATTAATTAAGTAATATCAAGATATTAAATAAGTGCTCGGTGTCCAACTGGAATGAGCACAGGGCTGTAGAGTACTGGCTTAAAACCTGGCTTACCAAGGCGTTTGCACTAGTGTGCACCTTGGGTAAATTACTTAACTTCTCTCAGCCTCAGGTTCCTCCTCTGAAAAATGAGAAAACAATAACATAGCTACTTCATAGGATCTCTGTGAGGATTAAATGGGATAATTTATATAAAGAGTGTAGCTCAGGGCCTGCCTGGAACACATCAGGAATCAAATGGTCGCTATGGGATTCACAATATTTGTACCTATAACTATGGCTTGCGCCTTTTTTTTTTAATCACAGGTATGCTTCATCTAAAGCAGCCTCCACCATCCCCTTCACCAGCTACAACCACTGTCTTGTTCCCCATCTATGTTCTTCATAGCATTTGTCACTATCAGAAATTATCTCCTTTATTTTATTTGCATTTACTTGTTTCCTGTCCGCCTCCCTATTAGAATGTAAACTCCGTAAGAACAGGGATTTGCTGCCCTAGTCACTGCTGTAACCGTGCTTAGCACGCAGCAGGTGCTCAGTAATGTTTGTTGTTTGAATAATCCCATGTTGTTGAAAACTTCCTTTTCCCTAATCTGCAAAATGGAGGCCTACCACGACATCTACCCCACAGATTGGCTATCAGAAATTAAGAGGAACCAGACCACCACTAATTTTACTCCTATTCGAATGCACAATAAACCGGAAACGTGTGGAAACCAGGCTCGGCCCTTGCGTTTGCCCCGGGGGCCCTAAACCGACAGCGCAGGGGTGGCGGTCCCAGGGGAGGAAGTGGGGTCTGACAGAGGACAGGAAGCGGAAGGGACCTGTCCCCTGGGTTGGAGAAGGAAGTGGGATTTCAGAAAAAAGGAGAAGCCGGACGCTGGACTAGAAAAATGAAAAATAAAAAGTGCATCCCCTTGACTGAGTGGCTCCATGAGGCTTTGGGGACCCAGCCAGTATCGGGGGTGGGGGGTGGGGAGTGGGAGTAGGGTACAGAAAGGGCAAAGGTGGGGTCGGCACTGGAGAGAAGGGGCCAGAGGGCTGAGGCAGCCTCTCTCGTACCCCTGACCGACACTCGCCGGTCCCCAATCCTACAGGAACTGGCTCCCTCCCCTCTCCCCCGCTCTGGACCCTGCTTCCTCTCCGACCGGCTTGGCCCGCTTCTCTCGGCGCACGCACACTTCTCACCGCTCTCCCCAGTTCTCGCCATCACCTCACAGCCCTGACTCGGGCTCCTTACCGGCATCTTGACGTCTCCCGAGTTTCAACTCAATAAGGAGAATCGGGTTAGTGAGAGGAGCTTCCGGTCCGGCGCTTGGGCGGGGTAGGCGGAAGTGAACCGGAAGAGGAGGGCGAGGGGACGATTTGCGCTTCCGGCCTTGAAGTTCCGCCGCTGGCTGCTGGGGCTGCTGGGATCCGAAGGGGCGCCAGGGGGCGCGCCAGCCCTAAGTAGAGGCTGAGTGTCACGCATGCGTGAGGCCTGGAGCTGGCGATGGGTCTTGGGGTTACAAATCCCTGTGAAGCATTACCTGGGTCACACTATTTTATTTTGTTTTTTAATACTTTCAAAATTGACTTCAGAGAGGAAAGGAGAGGCAGAGATAAAAACATCAATGAGAATCATGGATCGTCTGCCTCCTGCACACCCCACACTGTGGATCAGCCCGCAACCCAGGCAGGTGCCCTGACCTGAATCGAACCATGAACTCCTGGTTGTCTTCCCTCTTAACTACTTTTGGTATTTATCTCCCCATCCATGTGAACATCAAAAAGGCAGGGATTTTTGTCTGTTTTGTTCACTGCTGTGTACCCCGTGTCTAACAAAAATGTGATGATACATAAGCATCAATAAATTTTTGCTAAGGGAATGAATGAACCTACTAGTTTCAAAAATGGAGAGCACATTGGTAAGGGATTTGTGGGTTACTCTGTACTGCAATTCTTTGTGTAATGACTGAGAAAATGGACTCTGGATTTGAATTCCAGCTCCTACACTTACAGGCTCTGTAATTTTGGGCTAGTAAATTAATATAGCTAATCAGTTTCCTCACCTGTAAATGGAGGTAACAGTACTTAATTCAGTTTTGTGACGATGAATGAATTGCATGTAATGTGCTTAGAACTTCTAAGGCTCAGGAATTTTAAAATTACTAGAAAGCACCTCATGTTAAAAGACAAGTTCATTCCTGCTTTAGCCCATTTCTTCTGCCAGTTCCCCAGACTAGAATACTTTGCTCCTGGTTCCCACACTGACTTCTCATTTTGGTCTCCTGTCAAATAGGAGGAGCCTTCTTTGACAATGAGCCCAAAGTAGCCTGTTATCACTTTCCCTTTCATTACTGTTTCTTCTTCCCATTCCTTATCAGAGGCTTCCCTGTTTATGGTTAATCTCAGGGACCCAGCACGTCAGCTCCAAAGAATAAGGATTTTTAAAAAAAAAAGAAAAAAAAAAGAATAAGGTTTTGTCAAGCTCCCATTTTATTCCCAGTGTCTGGCATCTCCTACTTGGGAAATTTTACAAATTCAAAAATTTTCCCTGGCTGAGTTATTTCAAATTATGAATGGAGAACAAGAGTGTAATGAAAGGTTAATGCTGTTTCTTTTATTTATATACATACGTATCTTTAAAAATTAGTCACTTTTCATTTTTTAATTATACAAATAATACATTTTCAATGTAGAAATTTGGAATACATATAAACAATGGTTTTACCTATATCCTACAGATTTTCACCTTTGGATATACATATTTTGTTACAATAATTCCTGCTCCTCAAAAAAACCCCTCAAAAATAACAAAACCAAACAGAAAAAATAAAGGTAGACTGGTCTTAACTGTACCACAGGTGCTAATTTACATTATATACAAATCTATGTGAATTAATTTCAATTTCAACTTTTAAAATTTAAACCAGGGGTCCTCAAACTACGGCCCGTGGGCCACATGCAAATACAAATATTGTATTTGTTCCCGTTGTTTTTTTACTTCAAAATAAGATATGTGCCGTGTGCATAGGAATTTGTCATAGTTTTTTTTTAAACTATAGTCCGGCCCTCCAACGGTCTGAGGGACAGTGAACTGGCCCCCTGTTTAAAAAGTTTGAGGACCCCTGATCTAAACTGATGCTTAGTAAAAATATAACACTAAAAGATTCCACTTTAAATAGCAGCAGTTTCAGAATAACCAAGAACTTGATTCAGGTGTGCTGTTGATAAAGAGCCAAGTATTATTTTTTTCATTAAAATAAGCAGCTTTTTAGTATTGCATCCTTTGAGAAAAATATTTTGCCGGTTCAGCCACAAGCTCTTTGCATATATACATTTACATGTTAATAAACTCTTTATTCATTCTGATGTTCTTGAAAATATTCATCAAACATAGAAGACGACTCATCTTCATGTTCCTGACACAAAAGGAAACACAAAAGAGAAAATACATTGGTTTCCCCTCAGTTAGACATAGTATGTGTTTACGTATTTTCAGGTAATGCTCTGTAAGGAGCTAACACTCAGTGCCAGCTCCTGGTGCTGCACATAGGTAATAGTTAATAGTAACAAAAGGCATGATTGAAATAATATTTAAAGTGTTTTTATCTCATTAGAAGCATTTCTTCTTCTTCTTTTTAATCCTCACTTGAAGTCATTTTCATTGCTTTAGAGAGGGGGGAAAGAGGAAGAAAGGTAGGGATGGAGGGAGGGGGAAAGACAGAGGAAGAGAGAGAGAGAGACAGAGAGAGAAACATCTATGCAAGAGAGAAACACTGATCAGTTGCCTCCCATATGCACACTGACAGGGAATTAAAACCTGCAACTCTGGTATATGCCCTGACTGGGAATTAAATCCATGACCCTTCCATGCATGGGACCACATTCCAACACACTGAGTCACAGAAGCCAGGGCTAGAAGCATTTCTTACACCAGTTCTCAGCTATCTTACTGTGCTAATACCCTACTGAAAACTATCGTTAGTCTTTCTATTGACCTATGTGAGGGCAGCCCAAATTCAATTGGATTTTACCTCCTTTTTGCATCTATCCCAAGCTCTGAGTACTAAGAAACATAAATCAGTAATAGTGTCTCAATAAAAAATAGAGTAAAACTGATATTGCTCTTTGAGCTCAGGAGTCAATTTCAGGAGTCACCAGAGAAGCCTAGGTTACTGCCACCACTAAGACAAAAATTAATTTGAGTTTCTGGATTACGCAGGAGATCAAGGAGTGCCGGCAAACATTTTTACTAAAAGCCAGTAAATACCCTAAACCGGAAATTACCTTTGGTTCTTTAAATTCCAAATCTTCTCCATACTGAATGGCAAAATCAATATGCTGTAATACAATGTTCATGCTTTCTTCATCTGACTGATCGTAAGGCAAAAATCGAACCATGCTGTAGTCGTCAATCTATAAGTTGGAGATTTCAGAAAGGGTCATTCTGAAACTGTGCAACATGCTTAATTTTCAACTTATATATTTGAGGTTTATAACCATTTATCATTTGATAGACAGAGACAAAACGGAAAATCAATATTCGTTTTTCTGGTCTGACTTACCAGAACACTCAACTTACTACATAACTAGATACTGTTTCATAGGAATTTATCTGAATTCAACAACCACTGGAAATTTCAACAGGGCACAGACAGTTCTGAATTCCCAAAATGGCTTGGGATAATGGACATGTCAGCTAATTTACTGGCTATCACCAATAACTGCTTCCCAATTAAACTGTGGGGGGAAAAATGAAAAAATGAAAAAAAATTAAACTGCTGACTGGCCAGCCCACAGCCTGTCACCACCACCTCCCCATTGCAAGCAAGTAGGATTGGATTGTGCTTTCCGTAATGTTGGCCACTGACTGGACATCGATGAATAACAAACAACAACAACAACAACAACAATTTAACCAGCTTACCAGTCCACATATAGCTTTAGTCAATTTTTTGAATTTTTTGCTTCTTAAGTCACTTGGGGAATCATCTAATAAAGAATACATGTCTGGATCTAGAAACCTTTAAAAGTGAGAAAGAGACTGATGAATAAAAGGAAGAAGAAATCCAATTTACAGACAGATAGAACCTCACATGTAAATAAAGCTTAGAAGATTCATCTCTGCAATTGAGATCTGATTGTAGTGGAGGCCATGAACTCACTTCTCAATTTCCTTCTTAGCTTTCTTACTCAGCAGGTCCATTTTCGTCATGATGTTAACTTGTGGAATTTCTAGAGAGATCATAGCGCTCAGGGCCGCCAAGATGCCAGAAATAAACTGAAGGAGGAAACAGGAAAGGGAAGATAAATCAACAGGTGCCAACAAAGTTCCCTGGTCTCTGCATGAAAGAGAGGCTTCTGTGTCTCACTGGAGCAGAACTGGCCTCAATCACAGAAACACTGATCCTAAAGAAAGGACAGTCCACTAATCAGAGGGCTGACCCTTGGTTTCCGAAGGTGAGGAGAAAAAAGGTGTAGATTTAATCTGTGGTGGTCACAAATCTCAATTTAGACCATATCTTTAACCTTCTTTCCCATAAAAAATTCCTTAAGAGCTACTAATGAGAAATAAAGTTTCAGACAGTTCATAAACTAGACAAATAGCCCTCAGGAAATCAAAAATGCACATACATAATATGCATCTGCCTCATTTTTCTCAGTAAGTAGTTCTCCATATAATATCATAATTTACCATCTGAAGTGAAAATACATTATTATAATAATTTTATAAGGGATACAAAGTAACTCTAGAGTATAGTTTGTGAAATGTCCGGAATCACACAATGATTAAAGGAGACTGTCATCTGCTTGCACCCATGACTGAAATATCAACAACAGATTTATCCTCAAACCTTAAAAGACTCCACCATAAACTGTGAATCGACCAGAAAAACTCCACAGACTCGGAACTCCCACTGTTCTAGCCGCTGGACCAGTTGTTTCATCACAGGCAGATGCGTATACAACTCGATCTGACCTACATGAAGAAAATTGCAAGATTACAATCAGAAAATGTTAAAAAATACAAAAAAAATTTACCCATAAGATGGTTAAATAAAACAAACAAACTGCCCTGCTAGAGTGGCACAGTGGTTGAGCATCGACCTATGAACCAGGAGGTCACGGTTCAGTTCCCAGTCAGGGCACATGCCTGGGTTGAGGGCTCAATCCCTAGTAGGGGCTTGCAGGAGGCAGCCGATCAATGATTCTCTCTCATCATTGATGTTTCTCTCTCTCTTTTCCTCTCCCTTCCTCTCTGAAATCAATAAAAATATATTTTAAAAAATTAAAATTAAAAACAAACCAACAACAACAAAAAAAAAGGAAGTCAAGCCCTGGTAGTAATATGTTCCATTTTAAGGAGTCTTATAGCCTCTTGAAGCAATCACAAAATCATGAGGTTCATCATACTTTTTAGTTTTTGCCCATCAAAAGCAAGCGCTACAATTTTGTTAACCAGTGTCACCCAATAAATTCAATAAAAGGAAAAATAAAAAAGCGAGTGCTACAAAGGTATTGCAGTTTAGGAATATTCATCAAGCTGAACACTTATGACATCTGAATTTTTCTGTGGGTGTGTGTATGTTCAATTAAAAGCAAAGGGAAAAAGTGAGAGCCACATATGATCAAAGCTCAGTTAAGCTCAAGTCTGAAATTCACAATTTGGCTTAACAAGTCATATGCGTTTATCTCTCCCCCACCAGCCTCACTTCACAACATTTCCCTTTGTGCACTGTGTGCTTCAGCCACAACAGCCTTTTTGGTGCCTCAAACCCACCTCCTTCCTTCCTGCCCGTAGGCCTACAACATGCTGTGACTTTTGCATGGACCAGTCTCCCTCACCTTCGGGCTATGGCCCAGCCTACAGGCCACTGGATCAAAGCCTCCTCTAACCTCCCTGCTGTGTGATGGTCGATGCCAGCAGTCGCCAACCTTTCGGACCTCACGGACCACCAGTTGGTGACCGCTGCTCTATGCTATTCCTGTCACAAAAGAATATTAAGTAACATTTGGGTGATTTTTGTTTATACTGTCTAGCACTGCCACTTGACTGTGAGCTCCACCAGGGCAGAGACCATGGCTCCCTGGTTCTCTATGGTATTCTCAGTGTACAAAGTTAAGCACTCAGTAAACTCAGTGAATGATTAGAGCCGATGAATAAGAGCTTTGTACCTTACTGCAATCTGTATAATTCAGAGTGACAAATGCTCACTGCACTTTCTCCTACTGAGGACAGAACCAGCATGACTTTGAGGAAAATGACACATTCAAATGGCTCACCCACCTGGACAGTCAAAAAGGATGTAGTCATCCTCTACGTGGCCAAGACAGCTCTCTAGCCAGTCAAAATGATTGGCGAAGTACTCCATGCAAAACACCAATCCTCCATTGGGACCGAACCGCAGAGAATCATCCTCCATCACGTCATCCACCTCGATCAGTTCCCGGATGTCTGAAAAGGATAGGCAGGCCCCGGAACAGAAGCACATCCATTTGAAAACGGTTATCCTCACAAGTGATAATTAACCATTCTATAAAAACTCACACATATAAGATTGTTTCTGTACATGGTTATTCCCTATAGCAGTGTCTGTGGGAAGTAATTATTGAATAGCCAGACAATAGAATCCTATGCAGCCATAAAAAAGGAAAAGCTCTTCAAGTATTTGATTATGACCCAATCTCCTAGTTACACTGTTAAGTGAAAAGTGTAAGGTATAGAAGTCCATGTAAGAATCCATCGTTTGGCCCTAACTGGTTTGGCTCAGTGGATAGAGTGTCGGCCTGCAGACTGAAGGGTCCCAGGTTCGATTCCTGTCAAGGGCATGTACCTTGGTTGCGGGCACATCCCCAGTAGGGGGCATGCAGGAGGCAGCTGATGGATGTTTCTCTCTCATGGATGTTTCTAACTCTCTATCCCTCTCCCTTCCTCTCTGTAAAAAATCAATAAAATATAAAATAAAATAAAAAAATAAAAAGACTCCATCGTTTGTGTTTAAAAAAAAAAAAAGACAAAGACTCACGATATGTACATAATAATATGCATCTTTGATTTTATATGCATAGATTCTCTATGGATAAACACACTCCAGAAAGTGGCAATACTGGCTGCTGACTGCTGGGACACAGAGCTGGGAGAGACATTTACTCTTTTGTACCTTTTGCATTTTGAACAATGTGAAGAATATACACTAAGTATCCTATAACCAGTAAACAAAACAAACAAACCAAGAAAACCAATGACTGTTTCTTAACACAATGAGCCCAAGGAAACTACTTAACCTTCCTATGCCTCACTTTCCGTATTTAGAGATGGGGTACAAATCATATATCCTAGTGTAGAAGGATGAGGACTATATGAGATAACATAGCTAAATCACCTATAGCAGCAGCTCAAAGAATTCTGGTATATACATGGTTCTCTTCTATTACTAATTTTTGGAAATCAGTATTTTTAACTATCTACGGTAGGTTTTTATTTTTGTGTTCAAACCTACAATCTGTTCCCAAAGAACTATGCCTCACTCACAGCCCCATGTATGTGGCTAATATCTTCCCACGTACTTTCCCAGGAATAACATCTGACGCCAAGTTCGGACAACTGTAATAGCTGCACTGCTGGCCCCCGCTTCTCCTCTTGACCCTCTAGAGTCCATCTGTCATCCGAGAGCCAGTTACCTTTAAAAATATAAGCCAGATGCCAACCCTCTCCCCTGCTTAACACCCGCTAATGGCATTCCATCACTGACAAGTGCTAGAGATTCAATACATGTGTCCTTCCCAAATTCATATGTTCAAAACCTAAAGCCCAAGGCGATGATATTAGGAGTTGGGGACTTTAGGAGGTAATTAGGGTCATGAGGGGTCTTATAAAAGAGGCCCTAAGGATCCCTCATCCCCTTATGTGAGGACACAGGGAGAAGTTGGCAGCCTACAGAATATAACTGGGTCTTCACCAGAATCTGACCGTGCAGGCATCCTGATCTTGGACTTCCAGCCTCCAGAAGTGTGAGAAATACATTTCTATTTTGTGTAAGCCTCCACCTATGGCATTTTGTTACAGCAGCCCAAACAGAATAAGAAAACAGTATAGCCCTGGCTGGTTTGGCTCAGTGGATAAAGCGTCGGCCTGCAGACTGAGGGATGCTGGGTTTGATTCCGGTCAAGGGCACATGCCCCAGTTGCAGGCTTAATCCTGGCCCTGGTTGGGGTGCATGTGGGAGGCAACCAATCGATGTATCTCTCTCACGTCGATGTTTCACTCTCTTTGTCTCTCCCCCTCCCTTCCATTCTCTCTAAAAATCACTGGAAAAAATATCCTTAGGTAAGGATTAACAATAAAAAAAGTGTTGAAAAAAATTCTATTGGATCCACCAGATGAATTACAAATAATAAAAATAAGTTAAAAAAAAACAAAAATATCCTTGGGTGAGGATTAACAACAAAAAAGTGTTGAAACAAATTCTATTGGATCCACCAGATGAATTACAATTAATAAAAATAAGTTAAAAAAAAACAAAACCACAGGATAAAACCAAAACTTCTCATCTCCTACTAGCTCCTACCCACTTCTTTCTTTCACTCGTTATGCTCCAACTCATCAATATCTTTGATTTTTATATGTAAATATGTGTTCATTTTTAGCAAGTGCTTTTAGGAGCAGATCTGTTAAGGCACATCCTTACTTGTCCAACACTGTAGATTACATTGTTTTGTTATCTAATCCTATATACTGTGTGACACCAAAACAACCATAGTCTAAAGCAGCTGTGGGCAAACTACGGCCCCCGGGCCGGATCCGGCCCGTTTGGAATGAATAAAACTAAAAAAAAAAAAAAACGAACCCTTTTATGTAATGATGTTTACTTTGAATTTATATTAGTTCACACAAACACTCCATCCATGCTTTTGTTCCGGCCCTCCGGTCCAGTTTAAGAACCCATTGTGGCCCTCGAGTCAAAAAGTTTGCCCAACCCTGACCTAAAGCAATCTCCTCTAGTTATTCCCTCTAATCAGCCTACTGGCAGTCTTTATCTCAATCTGTAACGTGTTGCTTATTGCTTATCTCCCTGACTAAAAGGTACACGAAAGTAGGATTCGTATGTTTTGTTCCACAGACACTTGAATAAATTAAAAGAGTTAAAAAAACAAACAAACATTGAGGGGGCTCACTCAGAGTATGATCAGCAGTAAACCAGATTCACCGTAGCAGCACTAAGCATGGAAAGTACAGAAGGGAAGGGTAGGAAGGCACCTACTTACTTGAATTTAGTACCTAAGAGACCACGAGAAAGGATACTGTTGAACATAAATGGATGTCAGCAAATGACATTCAGCCTCATGCTGCTCACCATTTAACCAGGGGACCAGACTGTAGTAATAATATTTCAGCTTCTGTGCCGAGCAGCCAGCACTCCCGGCCTCCTCACCCCCCTAATTTTCCTGAAGGAGGGGGAAGCTCTGCTCAGGACTCACCAGCCATTACGGAGTAGTTGAAGTGTTCTGCTGCAGGATCAAGGTTCACAACCTGGACAGACCGATTGAGGGCTTCACAGTGCTGGACCATGGTGGCGCAGTAAGTACTCTGTAATGTCACAGGGCTCAAGGGGTCAGAGCAACAGCAATGTTATGTTACCTCCTGCACCCCCAGAAGGACGCTACGCCCTGGGCAGTGTCTGCTAGGGGCAAAACTAGGCCTTCACCGATCCCTGGGAGCTAGACAGGGCTATATTAGACAAAAATGGGTTCCAGCCCGGCTGGTGTGGCTCAGCGGTTAAACATCGACCTATGAGCCAGAAGGTCATGGTTTGATTCCTGGTTGGGGCACGTGGCCAGCTTGCAGGCTCCATCCCCAGTTGGGGGCGTGCAGGAGGCAGCCCAACAATGATTCTCTCTCATCATTGATGTTTCTGTCTCTCCCTCTCTGAAGTCAATAAAAATATATAAGTTAAAAAACTGGATTCCAGCCGCCACTTACTAGCTGTGATCCCGAGCAAAGAACCTTTCCGTGTCTCATTTCCCTTATCTGTACAGCCGGATTAATAGGGCTTATTTTAGAGGGTTGTTGTGGAAACAAATGAGGTGTTCAGCGCAGTATCTGGGGCTTAAGTATAAAAATAAGTATTAGCAACTATCACTCCTCTCCTTTCAAAACAACAACGAACAGGGTACCGAAGCTCAGACTGCAGAAGGGAGCTGCCCAGGGTCTCAGGGTCCCCAGTACAAACACCCGCCGGTCCCGTCCTCTGGACCCGAACCTCCCCGCCTCCCACGAGCTCCTACTCTTCCTTCCTTCTTCCGCCAAATCCTCACCTTCCCGCTGCCTGCGGGGCCCATGACCAGCTGCGCATACCGAGGCATGTCAGCTCCCCGAGAACCCGGAGCCGCCCGCCGCGCAGCAGTCCCCAAGAGCGGCGGCCACACTCCCTTCAGCCTTCGCGCGAAGCCCTGACTTCCGGGAACGTGGGGTGCGAACCAATCACAACCCACGTTCCGTTTACATGCCACACCTCCGAGTACGGAGCATCCCGCAGGCCAAATCCCGTGCGAAACGCGTCCTAAGAAAACCCTGGGAAGGGAGGGATGTTGTGTGCGCACGCGCTGAGGTTGTTGGTCCAAACCCTTGGTGGTGAGACTGGCGAAGCCTGGTTGCCTTGGTGATAACTGTTTACGGATAACGGCTAGCACTCGGCATTCCTGCGCGGGGCGCTTGGGTCCTTGGTTTGCGTACTGATGTTTGACACAGATGGTGACATTCGAGATTTGCAAATTTGCCGAGGGTCTGGAATACTGAGGTGGAAGGCACCTCCGGTGGTGGAGGGCATGTCTATTTCCTTTCCGTGACGCAACCGTTCCACAAAAAGATGCAAACGCGTAGTCAACTGTAGAATTCCCGCTCCTCCCCAATTTAACTCCGGGATCGTGGATCTGCCCTCCCCGCTCTCCCGAAGCTATTCGGGCCGTGTCCGGAACGCCCCGGAGGGGGCTAGAATCCGGCATCCGCCTCTTCGCCCCCAATATCGCCCGACCTGACGCAAGCGTGCTGACCCGGGAGGGGAAGAGGGAAAGCTTTCCCCGCACACAGCTCGCGGTCCCTGCACCCGGGAGGAGATGCTCGGCCAGGGTCCGGTGTCCGCCTGGACGGACTGCAGCCCTTCCGCAGAGCCTCCGGCAGTGGCCAGGACCGAGGGTGGCGGAGGCGGGTGAGGCTGCGGGGCCCTGAGGGGTGAGGGAGGACGGGGACCGGCCCGGTCATGATCCCCCTGGTGGAGAGGGGTTGGGAGCTGGCTGCTCCAATCGACTGGCCCCCAATGCACTGAAGAGAGAGGCGGGGAGAACCTTTGTTGTGGCCGGGATGGGAAACATGGAAACCGACGCGCTGTTCAAAGGAAGGGTTTCTGAGGAGGGTTTGGGGCAATGACAACGCGGTGACTGCGACAGTCACCTGCGTGCATCTTTCTGCCCCGAGGGGGCGCTGGGGAACCGGCTGGAAAAGCGGCCTGGCCACCGGACTCGACATAAACCCGGGTGGGGAGAGGGGAGACTGCGGGGACAAGCGTCCTTGTTCAATCGAGGGCTCCCGAGTCAATAAATCAGTTCCCCGTGTGTGACATTAGCCACCGTTATGTCAAGTGGAGATTCATAATCGTCCATGAAACAGATGACTATGAATATTGGAAGTACTTGACATTTTCTTCACACAGAAGTTCGTTTCTTCATAAACCTATTTTATTTTTAGCAAGTTTTTACTCTTATTTCCTGATGCTGAAGACAGTTGCTGAAGTCACTAACCTCCTCATCCCTTTCATCAGTTATTCCCTAAAACAGAGCGGCTGGCTGTTTGCCAAAGCGGCTCACAGCCATGGCTTCTGCTGCAGCCATGGCCTTTTTATTTTTTTTAAATATATGGTGGATTGAAGACTTCTTAAAGATGGGATGGGGCCCTGACCGGTTTGGCTCAGCGGATAGAGCGTCGGCCTGCGGACTCAGGGGTCCCAGGTTCGATTCCGGCCAAGGGCATGTACCTGGGTTGCGCATATCCCCACAGTGGGGCAGCTGATCGATGTTTCTAGCTCTCTGTCCCTCTCCCTTCCTCTCTGTGGGAAAATCAATAAAATATATTTTTTTAAAAAAAGATGAGATGGGGTCTTGTGTTTCTTTTCTGTTCCTCTCAGTGCTTAGTGAAGTGCTGGATCCTAGTATATCAGGAGATGAATGAACTCATGTTCATTGAATAAATTGGAAGAAGGAAGGAAGAAGGAAGGGTGTTTTGTCTCAATTTGAGAAAAAAAAAAAAACCTATACAAAATTAGATACATTCCAAATCCAGGATTCTAGAACACCTTAATTACATACAATAAAAAACAAGATAGTCTTTTCCATAGCCAAGTTACTTTATTAAAAATAAAGAGAACAAGAAAATATTATGGTTAGGACTAGAAGCCCAAACTACTTTATTAAACTCAATGTAGGAATTAGATTAGGAGGCTATAAAACTAGGCCAAACTTGGCTTAAAGTAAATCCTGTCTAATAATATGGTAACGAAAATATCAGATAACTCACTTTAAATAAGTCTGGAGCCATTCAGATATAACCAGAATGACAGAAGAAAATTTGCAAGACATTCTGTCTTATGGAAGCATAAAAAGTATAAAGCATATGCAATACTGTCCTTTTTTCATTTAAAATACCTTCTTTAATGTTTATAAAGCTGTCAGTTATTTGTTGTTACTACCTACTAATTACATTCTTTTTTTTTTTTTTTAAACAGATCAGCTGGACATTCTTATTACCAGAATTCCAAAGGTACTGGTGAGTAGAGCACATAAATCAGATAATACCTATAAATAACATGGTTCAGAGAAGTCAGTTTTGCTATAACTCTCACACAAAGGAGGTTTAAAAATAGATTTTATTAGCCTTCTTGGTGATCTTAGTCTTTAAGATTTTTGAGAGAACAATCAGCAGGTACCTTGTCTCCCATGAAGATATCTTACATCAAGCATTTTAAAAATAGTCTTTCAAAATAGCAATGAATTTGAAAACTGTGTTTATAACTGATGTTGGTTGAAAAGAAGAGAGCACAGATTGAAGGAAAATTTTTAAACTGAACAAACTCAAAGAACAAAATATTTCTTAATGCTGCTGTTTTCCTCTCCCTTGGAGTGAAGGATAGAGCTGCTAGAGTTGAGAGGATAAGATGCCCTCCCAAAGGTGTCACACTAATTTTGGGGAGGGAGCAATTTCAATTCAATGATATATAAACCTGGATTCACTTTGCTCTTCCTTGGAAATTTTATAGTCCTAACAGTTACCTAGGAAAAACATACATACCTGCAAGTATATAGATATAAAAATGCACAGACATACATATAAATGTATATACATAATGTGGTTTTCAAATGGAATTGCTGACTCATATGGCCATTTTATGTTTAATATTTTGAAGAACTGCCACACTGTTTCTATAGCAGCTGCACATTTTACATTCCCACCAGCAATGCACATGGTTCCAATTTATCCACATCCTAACTAACACTTATTTTTGTTTGGATTTTTTTTTTTTATGATAGGCATCCTTATGGGTATCTCACTATGGTTTTGATTTTGACTTCCCTAATGATTAGTGATAGTGAGCATCTTTTCATGTACCAATTGACAATTTGTGTGTCTTCTTTGGAGACATCCAAAATCTATCCAAGTCCTTTGCCCATATGTCAGTTAGGTTGTTTGTTGTTGAGTTTAACTATTATTTTTATAACTATTATTTTTAAATGTTTGATTTTCTGTAACAAAATGCTACCAAGCTTTTGAGCAATTAAATTTTAGACCAGGCTATGATATGCATCCTAGAAATATTTATTAGCAGGGACACAAAAGATATACTCTTAGAGAATTAGCCCATACCTACGACTTGAGAAAGGATTTAAAATAATAAACTTGAGCCCTAGCTGGTTTGGCTCAGTGGATAGAGCATCAGCCTGCAGACCAAAGGGTCCCAGGTTTGATTTTGGTCAAGGGCACATGCCCGGGGTTGCAGGTTTGATCCCCAGTAGGGGGCATGCAGGAGGCAGCCAATCAATGACTCTCATCATTGATGTTTCTCTCTCTCTCTCCCTCTCCCTTCCTCTCTGAAATCAATAAAAATATATTAAAATAATAACAATAATATACTTGAAATGTTGAATTAGTATTTTATTATTACAGTTTCCAAATGATGATTTAAGGGTCATAATAACAATTTCCAGATGATTTTCTATTTGTTGGTAAACTAGTTAGTCTTTCAGTATGCCATATCTGGTTTGCCCAAATCTTAAAAAAATAACCAAATTTAAAGTTTAATATATAAAATTATAGTGGCCTTTGTTATCAATAACATTAAAACAAAACTGTGCTTATTTAATTCACTTTACTAAGTAAAAACTTTTAACTTAAAATCTGTTCTGCCAGCTTAATTTGTAATAGTCCAAAACTGGAAACAATCCAAGTGTCCATCAACAGGTTTCTCTCTCACAACCATGTTTCTCTTTCTCTCTCTCTTCCTCTGCCTAAAAGCAATTAAAAAATTTTTAACAGCCCATGCTACTTCTCCAGAATAATCACTGACACATGTAAATACATAGACCTTAATAATTAATTTGTTGAACTGATCTTTCTCATGAAATTCACATAATAATGTCCTTGCCTACAGATGGAATCAAAGATGGACACAAAATGAACTTACACATAGCCAAGCTACAAGAGTTATGGAAAACTCCTCAAATTCAAACAATTCACATCACTAAATCAATGACAGATGTGTCCTTTCTAAAGGTATGCTAACTACCTACCAATACTTTATTTAAATACCAATAATCTTTGTATTCAGAGCTGAACTTTTTATTGAAGACCAGAGGCCCAGCATGCACCAGTGAGGTCCCTCGGCCTAGCCTGCAGGGATTAGGCTGCAACTGGCTCTCCGACATCCCCCAAGGGGTCCCGGATTGCAAGAGGGCAGTTCTCGAGTGATGCACCCTGGAATCAGGCTCCCTCCTCTCTGGTTCTGGGTGCGTCACCCGAGAACCGCAGCTGTGAAGTCACCGCAGCTCAGCAGCTCCTGCAGTGAGTGTCTGCCCTGGGCGGTCAGTGTGCGTCATAGCTACCGGTCTGAGCGTCTGCCCCCTGGTGGTCATTGCATGTCATAGCTAGCGGTCAGACAGTTGAATGGTCGCTTAGGCTTTTATATATATATATAGACAAGCTACTTAGAGAAGTGATTTTCAACCTTTTATATCTCATGACACACACAAACTAATTATTAAAATTCTGCAGCACACCAAAAAATGTATTTTTTGCTGATCTGACAAAAAAAGGTATAGTTTTGATTCATTCACACCTGGCTGCTATTTTTGTGTCGGCTATT